TTCCCAGGTGCCACGTCCTCCTAGTGCTCTCCTGCCTCACCGGGTGCTCCTTTTCTACTCCCCTGATCTCTAAATGCTGGAGTCCCCTGGACTTGGTCCTTACACCTCTTCTCTATCTTTACTCACTCCCTTAGTAATCCCATTCAATCTTGTGGCTTTAAATCCATTTGTACGCTAATGACCCCAATATGGCTATCTCTATCCTGTGTGTCCCTTAAACTCCAGATTACATCCATCTCCACCTGGATGTCTTAATAGGCATCCCAAGCTAAACTTGCTTCCAATGGAATTTCTCATCTCTCCTGCCCCTTGCAAACTTTGACCACCCACCATCTTCCTCTTCTCAGTTAATGGCAACTCCAGTCTTTCAAATGCCCAGGCTAAAAACCTTAAGAGTCATCCTTGACTCCTCTCTTTGGCTTTCACACTCTACATCCAAACCATGGGCAAACCCCTTTGGTTCTGTCAAATCCATCTAGTTCTTACCTTTTGCTAACACCCTGGTCCAAGCCCCCATCATTTCCTGCCTAGATTACTGCTATCAGCTCTTAACTGGTCTCCTCGTTTCTATACTTGCCCTCTTACGCAGTCTCTTCTCAGAAACCTAAATGACAGGGCTGGCCACTTAGCTCAGTTGGTTAGTGTGTGGTGTTCATAAAACCAAGGTCAAGGATCCCAATCCCCACACCGGCCAACAGCCAAAATGGGGGAAAAAAAGAGAGAGAAATCTAAATGATAAGCCATGTCACTAAAAGACAAAGTCTTTACAACAGCCAGAAAGTCCTACATATGTGATACTTCCCCTTTCATTATTTGTCCAACCTCCTCTCCTTGTACTTTCCTTTGTTCTCTCTGCTCCAGTCACCCTGTATTCCTCATTATCCCTCAACCATCCCAAGTACACTCCCACCTCTGGGCCTTTGCACTGGTTATTCTGTTTGGAATGTTCCTTCCTTAGATATCCACGCGGTTTATTCCTTGTATCCATCAAGTCTTTGTCCTAATTTCACCTTTTCTCTGATCTCCTTAGCTGTGCTATAGTTTTTCTTCAATAGTATTTGTCATCTTCTAACATACTACATGATTATGTATTTGTCATTTTAAACATGTCTTCCCTCATTTGAATGTAATCTTCACTAGGACTGGGACTTTTGTCTGATATTGACTCATGTACCCCCAGCATCTAGAAAAATGCAAGGCATATAGCAGGCAGCCCATAAATATTTGTTGCATGAACAAATGAAAGATGAGAGAAGGATTTTACTGAACAGGAGGACTGTGCTATCATTTAAGGGAGGTCAAGTTCTCTCTCTCTCTCTCTTTTTTTTTTTAAATTTATGAAGATGACCAGTAAGGGGATCTTGACCCTTGACTTGGTGCTGTCAGCACCACGTTCTCCCAAGTGAGCCAACCAGCCATCCCTAAACAGGGATCCGAACCCAGGCCCTTGGTGCCATCAGCACCACACTCTCCCAAGTGAGCCATGGGCCGGCCCTCAAGTTCTCTATTTAAATGCCAAACTCTCAAAACAACTAATTACTTGACACCATCACTTAAATGTTTAATAGGGATCAAAAACTAAATCTCTCCTGAATATTTTTTCTCCACTTCAGCAAATGGCCCCACCATCTACCTAGCTGTACAAGCCTGAAACATAACAGCTTTGATTGGTCTTCTCACCCTCCCATATCCAATTCATCAAAAAGTCTTATCAAGTTTAATATAAAAATTCAGCTCAAATTCGTCCACTTCTCTTTATCTCCACTTTTACGATTCTAGTCTAAATCATCACAGACGCTCACCTGTTTGACAGCCTCCTTCCTATCTGTTCTCTCTGCTTTCCATTCTTGCCTTCCTTCAAGTCACTAACTAAATAGTAGCAAAAGTGTTCTTTAAAATGTAAATTGGATCATTATACTCCTCTCCCTAAAATCTCAAAGGTTTCTGAATCCCCACCTTGGCCTGTGAATGAGCTGGCTCCTATCTACATCACAACTCTTCGGTGCCACTCCCTCCATTGCTCAGTTTGTTCTAGCCACAAAGGTCTGCTTTCGGCTCCTCCAACATGTCCCGTTCTCTGCCGCTCCAGGGTCTTTGCACATGCTGTTCTTACTTTCCTCCACTCTTCACCCTTTAGGTCTCAGCAGAAAAATGTTATCTTTTGTTAAAAGTAGCTCTCCCCTCTTTATTCTATATTTCATTTCTTGTTTGTTTCCTTCATAATTTCTAACAATTTGCTTACTTGTTTTGTTTCTACCCCCATTATAATATAAGCTCCATGAGGGTAGGGACCGCAATAGCAGGTGTAAGGGAGAAGGAGGTTCTTCATTAGAAATGTTTGAGAAGTCATAGCTGTAGGTCTCTTTCAGCTGTAACATCTCTCATCCCAACTCCCATAACCACTCTACCTCCCAATGGAGCACTTCTATCATTTTGAAAGGAACTACAGACAAGATATTATTCACATTAATTCCAACTGCTATAGACTGAATTGTGTCCTCCTCAAATTCATATGTTGAAGCCATAATTTCTGATGTTATAGGATTTGGAGATGGGGCCTTTGTTAAGTTTACATGAGATCATGAGGATGAAACTCCTATGATGGGAATAACGCCCTTATGAGAAGTGGTAGGGACACCAGAGCTCTCTCTGCTACATGAGGACACAATGAAAAGGGGACCGTCTTCAAGCCAGGAAGAGAGACCTCACCAGTACCCAACCATGTTGGCACTCAGATCTTGGACTTTCAGCCTCCAGAACTGCGAGAAATAAACGTCAGTTGTTCACGTCACCCAGCCCCAGTATTTTGTTATGGCAGCCCCAGCTGACTAAGACACCAACCAAAATGAGAATGCTTCAGCTTCGTCTGCAGTATAACCAAATGCACGTGTAGAAGGACCTCTGATGTAGTAGTAGTCTCTATCAAGACTCTTCACTCCCAACCAAAAACGTTCCACTGCTTGCTTGACGCTCTTACTTCTCCTACAGCTACACTCTGGAGCACTGAACACAGTTAAGGCTACTCTCACCAAAAGGAGGTGGACAGCAGCCTCCCCCAGCCACCCTCCAGCCAGCCTACCTCAGTGCTCTAAAACGGGTGAGTCAGGAAGATCAAGACATAGAAACAACTGTGTTTTGTTCAGAAAGGCTCCCTGATGTTTCAGTTAGGAAGTGATTTTGGTTGGTCATGACAGCATACAGAAACGTCTCCTCAGGGAATCTTCCCATGGGATTTCCGCCTAAATGAGAATCTCATAGGACTCTTTATTAAACTATTGTTTTTTTTAAAGTAGACATTTTAAAAAGCTTGGTTCTTCCTCCCTCTAAAACTAGTCTATAAATGTAGATTAGAGTGAGGCAGCAACTAGATTCTTTGAGACACTTTCTTAGAAAATTACTTTAAACATTCAAGAACTTATATGTTTTATAAAAGGGAACATCCCCTTATACCAAACCAGTATTTCTCCAACACTTTTACCTTGGGGATTTCAAAGCACAGTCTTTAAACTCAGTGGTTAAAAAAAAAAAAAAATCCCATGTCCATTTTATAAGTAGAAATAAAGAGAAATACAACACAGCCTACTATGAAGGTCCCAAAGCCCAGAGCTCGATTTTCACAAGAAAGAGTAACACCCATGCCAAATTATCAAAGACATAAAGCTTGGTTACAAAATAGAGAAAGGCAATATTAGTATTTTGTGACTGAAACAATCAAAGCTGCTCTGGACAAAATATCAAGTACAGTGGCAACAGGATCCTTAAGCTGAGAAGTCCTTCTTCGTTTTAGAATCTGTGACTCCAAATATTAATCAATATTATATGAAGTGCAATAGGGGACAAAGGGTTAGAAGGAGACTCTCCGAAGTACAAAATTCTGAGGGCTCTACAATAGTACCAACCTTCAAAATTTTTATAAGATTACCATTTCTTCATCTTTCCAATAATTTAAATATAGAACCTCATCTGCACAAAACCCAGCCACATCCGTGAGCATCCACTGTCAGTATGCTCCTCCTACATTTGCCTATTGCAGGAGGAGAAACGGGAGTTTACAGCTTTGGGGAAGCAAAACATAGTTTCTTCTCATAAATAGATTAAACTCCCTGGCCTATACATTCACAGTTGTGGTTATATAAATAAAGGGAAATATAAACTAGCCTTCCCATCTCATTTAAAAATAAAATAATCTAGTCCTACTCCATATTTTTCCCAGACAGGTGCAGTAACTTGTTCATGGTTACACAGAGAATTGGTGATTATGCCAGGAAATGAAACTCATGCCTCTTGACTCTTAGTCCAGTCCCCTTTCTACTACACCATGTTGCCTCCCATCTAGTAATCAAAATAGTAAGGCAAGACCTAAGAAATCTGACAAAGGAAAACCCAAGTCTCCTTAGACCTAAGATTGAGTTCCAACCCTGAAAAGTCAAATGAAGAATGTTTTGGGAAAAGCTTGCCAACAAATCCAGAAAAATATTTTATACTCAGTGGACTCTATCTCTCCATCACACCAGCCCCTCCAATCTTATAACAGTACCTCTGCAAACTGTCCTGCCTCATGAATGCAAAGATAACTGTGTTTTTATTTTTATTTTTTTCCCCAGTAAAGATCAGATAGAAAAGAAGAATGTAATCTAGTTTCTTTGTGCCAGAATTCTGGCATAGTGGAACTGTGTAGGAATGTACCTACTGTGGAATCTTCCCACACCCCTGAGCTGTTAAGAGTAACGAGCAGAGGCATGTCTCATACACTCCCCAAATATGTGAGCTGGCAACAACAAAAGATATTCAGAGGACTCAGCCCTGGGACAATAGCTTCTGTCAGTCAACTACAGTTCTCACGACTCTGTGTTTCTGCTCTTACTTCAACCTCATACCAAACAGCGTATCATACCTGTACAAGTATTTGAGAAAACCACGCAAATGAATTCACACAGTAGTACAGCAATTTTGGCAGGGCACCAACACAATAAAGTATAACGTTTTTTTAAATCAAAGACTTAGACAAGCATATTACTCTTAGCATTTACATAGCAGATTTGACAAAGGATCTGGGGCCCCAGTAACCTATCCTTGACACCAACACCAAAAGGGTCAGGTAGAGTTTCCATGCCGAGGGAGGAACCTGGTTAGAAGGCAAAGATCACCATTTCATCTCTTACCTGAAGCCAAAGGTCTGATCCACTCTTTGCTATTTAGGTCAAGTCTCCAGAGGTCATTGAAGGCAGCGTTGCAGCTGCTCTGAGTACAGCCTCCAAATACATACATAGACTGATTAGCATCATAATAGCACGCACCTAGAAAGAAAACAATAAATGAATTACTGCTGTTTAATTTTGAGGCCCCCCCAACACTTTAAACACAGCCCATATTTTTCAAAGCTAAGTTATTCCACACATTCAGCAACTCTACCAGGTACCAAATTTCTATAAACAACCTCTTGTTTTCAAGTCAATATCACATTATCCTTTTAAACAAGGCCAGAGAAAAGCTATGAAAATTTTATTTCTGAGCATACTAAACAAATTGAAAATGTGTCATTAAGTAAGATAGTACAATTCCAGCAAGAGCACACAAGAATTCAGCTAAGGGTGTTCAATGAGTGAAATTTCAGCACAGCCACATAATTAGTCTAAATCTCCATCATTATCCTCTAGGGCTACACAAAGATAGTTGGTGCTAACCAATGTATTCTGTCCTTCCATTCCTCTCTTCCAGTCCTCCTCTTATTGGTTTTTTTTTTTTTTCAAATGAAACCTGATCCACAAATCAATAAACAAATATTTACATAAAACACAATGACAGAAAACAATTTTAATCAGTGCCATGAAGTAACCACACATAAAGACCAATGTGATTGAAACAACACAGTTTTTACAAATTCCAAAGGGCAGCCAGGAAACTCAGAAGTAGTATGATCTTGGACTGATCCCAAAACTGCAGAGAGAAAAAGCATGGAAAGTCATTAAGTCCCTAGGTTTATCCAAAAGCTACCAAAGCATGTTGGTTGGTGCTGACTAGAAAACCAGTGCAGTAAGTAACACTTAAAAAGTGCCAATGTCTCTGAGAAAACCCTTTTTGATTAGATGATTATATACACATCCCTGGGCACCATTCCTAAGAAAAAGAGGCAATGACTGTGAGAAGGGCTGTTCCCCTAAAGACAGACCAAAGTGAGAGTCTGAATGAGATGCGTGACAGCTAAGCTCTGCCACCCTGCCTCTCACTGTAAGTCTCATTCGGTTTCTCCTTACAGTCTTGCATTTACCATCCTGGATTTCAAAAGGCCTGAGTGAAGATTTCCTTTCCATGCATTTTATGCATGCCAGAGTGAAAAAAAGTCCTCTCAATGTTCATGTAAAGCTAAGAGTTGAGTGTCATATAAAAGGAAGAGGAAAGGGAAAAAAACTCAGAGATCCAATGCACTAGTACCTGGCTTCAATGATCATCCAGTTCAGTTCAGCACACCACTCTTTCTAAGATCTCTTCTGAATGCTAGCATCACTTATTCAAGTTCAGAAAAAGGGAAATGCTACTACTATTGACTCATCCAATGCCACTGCTATCATTATGTATATCAACTGTGATATGAAATCTCTAGGAATAATATCCTTTTTTTCCCCCTTAACTCAGTTCACCCACTAGGCCCTTTAAGGAACTTCTACATTAGGAAAGTCAAGTAAGAGAAATGGATGGGTTATGAGGTAATAAAAATTGTGCGTTTGGTCATTTATACCCAGTAATGTCAGTCAGTGGAAGGAGTAAATCCAAATTATCTGACTTCTGACACTGTGCAATAATGGAGCTGCAGGCTTTTCAAATTACCAGAGAAACTGGAGAACACAGATGAGAAGAATTGAAACATCACCTAATCATTCATAGGCTCACACCTGCAAAATATTTACTATATCCCCCAAATTCAAACACCCTGCAAGGGTATATGAAGATTTAAATGATCTTACACCTTCCATTGACTCTCTTTGCCTTTAATGTTTTTTTTTTTTTTTGTCTTTTTGGTGACCGGCAAGGGGATCGCAACCCTTGGCGTGGTGTCGACCGCACAGCGCTCAGCCAGTGAGCACACCAGCCATTCCTATATAGGATCCGAACCCGCGGCAGGAGCGTCGCTGCGTTCCCAGCGCCGCACTCTCCCGAGTGCGCCATGGGGTCGGCCCTCTCTTTGCCTTTAAAAATAACTTCTAATCTATACCTAAATCACTTTTTTGATCCACATCCCAACAAGAAAGTCTATTAAGAAGTAATAAAGTCCAATGAAATTAAATTGGTCATGTTTCAGATTTGCTAAGAACTGCAAATAACAAAGGATCTAGTTAGAGAACATTACACAAACAAAAGGATAATTACTGGAGCCACATTTTAATCTGCAGCTCAACTCCAGATATCTTGGTCCTCTTAGACCTATCTTGAAATAGCAACTCTAGCAAATGAGGTAATTTTGAACTGAACCAACTGGTGCGAGGCATAAAAGAACATTCTTTTCCTCTCGATAATCCGTACTTCCAGAAGAGAAATTAGCAATGTCCTATGGCTTCGGAAACCTTAATTAGTGTCCATTAAAACAGTATTTAATAAGACAAATCCATGATTTCACAACTAAAAGAGTCAGGGGTTGGTTTATGTCTCCCTGTTCCTTATAGATAAACTCTTGGCAGCTGCTTCCTTCATGTAGTAAAAGAGCCCAGTGCCTTTATTTTTCAAAGAGGTAGCAAACATTCTTCTTCTCTATTTGGATTGAAAACCCAGCCAGCAGCTGGGCCCCATGAGGTCCTTACCACATGTATTTTAATCCTATACTAAAATAGGGCAATTGGCATTTTCCTGCTTCTCTTTGAGCAAACAAAGGTTTCTGGAAGAGGAAGGCACAGCCCAAAGTATGCAATGCTAACGGGACCAAAATGGCAAGTTTCACACACAACTATATGTTCAATGACCAGCCATCCTTTATCAACGAAGCTGGGAGAGGAAGGGAGTCAATTTCGGTAGCTATGTTTAGAACGCAGATATAATGGAATAAGAAAATAACTATCCATAATACATGCAACTATTTTAAGCATACTACTGAACTCTGTTTATTGCCCATTTTTATTTAAGACATCTATATGTTGATCTTAGTGGGAGGGGAAGACCCAACAAGTTCAAATAAGCCTTTTAGAAAAAATTAAGAATTTGAGGAACTCCCAGTGCTTAAGTAGTCATTTCCCTTCTACCCAAGTTCTCCACCCAAATGGCACGTTTGCCTTTCAGAACATGCAGACCATTGGAATGTGCTATACAAAAGTTACAGCTAATACTACAGTATGAATACTGTGCTAAGAAATAACATTGAGAATGTATTCCAATTGCTAAATCTCTTCAAATTTTCTGAAATGGGCTTGACTGCTCCATGAACAGCTATTGCAAAATACTTATCTCAAGTTAAATATCTAGTAATCCCTATTCAAAGACAAGCCAAATACTCACAATTTAATTACACAAACAGCAAGCAGTTTTTCACAGTTCAGAATGCTTTTCTACTATGTTATAATCATCTCAAGTGCAAGATCTTCCAGTAGTTTCATATTTTCCACGGTACATGGAACATTTAATAAATGCTCACTGAATGAATGGTACACTCCAACTTTTGCACTTTCAGTTGTTAAATTCTCTTTTGTTTCCCCACTAGTTTCTATGGAAAGGTCTTAAGGCATTTACCCCATCCTTAAAGAGACTATGCTGTCATGTCTCTCACATCTACAAGCCAGAACATATTTGATAAGGTCTGTAATTACATAACTATGGAACAGGCAAGGGTGGTTATCCAGCCTGGGCCTGCTGGCTCCTGCAAGAGCATGATCAGTATGTGTTAGAACTACCTGACCATAATTGAAGCCTAAACACAAAAAAGTTTTTCAAAGCATGATATCGGGGACTCAGTAGACCTCTACATCAATCTTAAAAGGATATCCTACATCAATCGAAGCTTGCATAACACCAAAAACCTAGTAGAAACGGTCTTTTTATTGTACCTGCCTTTTTTATCCCAGATGTTTACATAGGAAAGATGCTTATAGCGCATATCTTTGTTGCATTTAAGTCCACAAAACTTAGCGGATATCCAATTTTATTGTATCAAATTTATTAGATATCAACTATGAACCAGGTGCTATGAAAAAAGACAAGGATGTCTTAGATATGAAGCCTGCCTATCCTCCAGTAGACAACAATCTTGTGGAAGAGACATCATCATCATCCCACCATAATACAGCTTAAAACTTATTTTTACAAGTATTCCCTCAATTACATTTCTCAGCCCTGTGACATAAACAGAATTTGTCATACACATTTTACAGATGAAGAAACTGTGGGTCAGAAGGCCAAGAAACTTGAATCCCAAGTACAAAGGTCTTTACTTTTTTGCATGCAGCCTCTAATACACAGATAACAATGGTAAAAGACAGATGGTAACAGATACTATGAGGAAGATACAAACATTGTATTAAAGGAGTACAAACAGAGGAAGAGCTTAATCTCCATGGTGGGTAATTTGAGAGCAGTTTGTGAAGAATGTGGCTTTTGGCTTTGTCTTTGAGATGAGTTATAGAGGACAGGACACTTTCAGCCAATTAAAAAGGGCAAACACTTGGATAAAAATGGAATAGGAGGGTAAAGAAGGTTGTGCGGAGAATAAAATCAGGGCTTCCAAGCAAAGCCATGAAGTGGGAAGTTTAAGACATTACAAGATGGGTTGTATGACTAGAGCCTGGTGGCATAAAGATGCAGCAGTGAGTCAAGCTGAAAAGGAAAGCTGGGGCCTTGAAGGCCAGGTGGAGTGGAAACATCTACATGAAGTGCAGAAAGGCTGAAGGTTTTTGGCAGAGAGATGAAAGGATGGTTCTGTTTCAGACCTGCAGTGTTTCCCAACATGGGCTCCTGTCATTTGGGGCAGACCAATTCTGTGTGTGTAGGATTTTCCCACTCACTGTAGGATATTTAGCATCCCTGGCCCTTGCCTACTAAATGTTTGTAGTGTTTTCCAGTCAAGAAAATAAACAATGACCTTACACATTTTCAAATGCCCTAGGAGGTGGCACTGTTCCCAGTTTTAGAGATGATTGCCAACAATGTATAGCCCAGGTTCAGATGAGGAGAGAAAAAAGGAAAGAAGATGATTTAGAAGTGTACTGTGATGATTTAGAAAAGATGTAATGATTAGATCGTAAATTAGAGTAATGAAAAAAGAAAAAAGATATGAGGGAGATTGCAGAGATAGGACAGAATCAACAGGATTTGGCTCTTGTTCAATAGGGAGAAGGAGAGGAACTGAGGATGAATCCAAGATTTCAAGCTTGTGTAACTGAGAGAATGAAAACAACATTAACTAAACAAGGGAAAGAAGAAAGCTTTGGGGGAACTACTAAGTTCTACTTTTAGCTGACTGCATATGAAACATCTATGTATCTCTACGGTAACATAAGCAAAGAATTAGAAATGTGGATCTCAAGCTCAGCATGAGTTAGGGATAAGAAAGAAAATGAGATCAAGGGAGAAATACAGAACTGAGAGAGGAAGGAGCTAAGGAAAGAAATTAAAGGAATTCCTTGTTTTTAACCTATTTTGAAAACTGTCCTTTTCTTTGTTCAGTTTTCCAGTTAGTCAGATAGTATGCAGAGACAGATGGAAAGAAACAGTGAGAGACAGACAAAAAGAGACAATGAGAGACAGTCAGAGACAATGAAACAGAGACTTTTTGAGAAAATTATCTACGACACCTTCTCTTGGATCTTAAGTAAATATTGAAATATTTTTTAAAGTATAGATAAGTATCCAAACCCACTAATCTCTGAACTTCTGTGGACTCTTCCTTTCCATTTCCCCTTTAAGCAACTGCCTCTATTTTGTGGTAATACTATTTTCAAAATCTAGTTAATTAAAAAATATTTTTATCCTTTCTCATCAGAAAACTACATTGTTGCTGTGACAATTATTTGCCCTTGAATATTTCCTATTCTGGTTTCTATTTTACCCAGATTCATTCAATTTCTCTCAGTTAGGGTTCTAAAACTACTTATTTCAAAAACAGTCTTCAGGAACCTTATGTCTCCTCTTACTCTAATTATCTTTATGTAAGTGAAGTTACCCCTCTCTCAACAATAAACACTGGATCAAATTTGGATCCTCCTATACTTCATTAAATATTCGCAGCAAGGATTCATTTACAGCCTATTCCAGTGATTCTCTAAGTGTGGTCTGTGGATTCCTGAGAATACTTGAGAACCTTTCAAAACTATCTTTTATATAATAATACTTGCCTTCATGTTGTTGACATTGGTGCTAACAGTGCAAAAGCAATGGTGAAGTCTTAGCATAAATCAAGGCAGTGGCATTAAACGATTCCAGTAATCACTGTGTTCTTCGCTGTCACACACTCACAGTTTAAACAACCAAATAAAGCCAATTCTGACTTCAGAGAGTCCCTGAAAGGGTCTCATGGATGCCCTCTTTCCCAGAGGTCCAGGAATCACACTTTGAGACCCACTGTTCTAGGCAGTTTACAACAGCACAAGTAAAAATAGCTCCTTGAGAGAAGTGAAAACACAACAATAGTTTGGCCCGTTCCTTTGATCTATTTAGGTCTAATTCAAAGACAACGATGAGTTATAATTATTTGTTGAATCCTCCTCTGGATACAAGAGTATAACATATGGTCTGGGGGAATTAGCCTCTAAGATGGCCCCCAATGATCCTCACCTACTGGTATTTACACCTTGATCAATCCCTGTGTGACAAACAGAATGCAGCTGAAATGATGTATTCATTTCTGAGATTAGGTCGTAAAAGATACTATGGATTCCACCTTGGTGTCTGTCTCTTGTTTCTTTCTCAGATAATTCATTCTGTGGGAAGCCAGCTGCCAAGTGAGCAGCTCTATGGAAAGGTCCATGCAGTAAGAAACTGAGGCCTCCTGTTAACAATTACTTGAGTGAGTTTGGAAGCAGATCCCCTAGTCAAAGTCAAGCCTTCAGGTGACCACATGCCTGGCTGACAGATTGACTGCAACCTCATAAAAGACCCTGAGCCAGAACTTCCCAGCTAAGCCACTTCCAAATTTTTGACTCTCAGGAACTCCCTTAGATAACAAATGCTGTTTTAAGCTGCTAAATTTGGGGGCAATTTTTTATGCAACATGGATAACCAATACACACTCCTACCCATCAAGAGTTCAAAATGTAGTTGTTTTTTCAAAAAGACACATACGTATCAGCTAACAACGAAAAACTATGTGAGTTAAGTACCAAATTAGTATTTCAGAAAATATCTATTAAAGCTCAAAATAGGAAAAATTTTGGTATGGGCTAGAGTTGAGAAAAGGTTTCATGATGGAGTTAGAACTTCAACTGAGTCTTCAAGGAGGGGCAGGATTCAGCCAAGTGGATGGGAATACTCCAGGAAGGGAGAAATCAAGTATGGCAAGGTTTAGTGACTACCTGTTGAAGAGGCAAGCTCTTGGGAAAAGTTGGGAGATGAAGCGGTAAATTTAGGCATAGGTCAAATTTTAAGGATAGCACTGAAAATAAGACTAAGTTTAGGTTTTCTTTTCTTTTCTTTTTTTAAAGCCAGTCAAATTTAGCAGTTGAGGGTTGTATACGAACTTTAGTGACATTAATGTTAATAAGTTCTGATAACCCACTACCATCAGACCAACCTAAGTTTAGATTTTATCGTGTAGGCAATCCACAGGCACTGAAAGTTTTTGAATGGGAAAGTAATATAACAAAAGCAGTATACAGTAGTCCGCCCCCCCCCCCCTTATTCATGGTTTTGCTTTCTATAGTTTCAGTTACTTGTGGCCAGTAGTGGTCCAAAAATATAAAATGGAAAGTTCCAGAAATAATTCATAAGTTTTAAATTGTATACTGTTCTGAGTAGTGTGATGAAATCTCAGGCCTTTCCGCTCAGTCCCAACCAGGATGTGAATAATCTCTTTGTCCAGCATATCCCACTGTATACACTGTATACTTGCTGCCCATTAGTCACTTAGTAGGCATCTCGGTTATCAGATTGACTGTCATGGAATCACAGTGCTTGTGTTCAAGTAACCCTTATTTTACTTAATAATGGTCCCAAAGCATCACTATGTTGGCCAGTCAGATATGCCAAAGAGAAGTTGTCATGTGCATCCTTTAAGTAAAATGGTGAAAGTCCTTGACTTAAGAAAGAAAAAAATTGTATTCTGAAGTTGCTAAGATCTACAGTAAGAATGAATCTTCTATCTGTGAAATTTTGAAGAAGGAAAAAGAAATTCATGCATAGTATATTACAGGATTTGGTACTACCCTCGGTTTCACGCATCCACTGGGGGTCTTGGAATGTATCCCCTGCAGATAAGAGGGGACCACTATAATTATGAGAGCTTTCTAAGAGGTCCCCCCATTCTCGGTTCCCTACCTCCCTTCCAGCCTTCCCTCAATGAGCTTTCTTTAAGAAGAACCACTAAAAAACACACCTTTACTGGCCTAAGACAAACCACACCTCAATCTCATTTTTGATAGAAGGATAGGAATCACTAATAGAATAAAACAGCATCTATAAAAATCAGTTAAAATGCAGAGTTAATTCTAGAATAATTCACTTTTTAAGTTTTTTTAAAAAATCTTTCAGCAGTTAGCCAGTACAGGGATCCAAATCCTTGACCTTGGTGTTATAACACTGCATTCTAACCAATTGACCTAACTGGCCAGCCCTCTAGAATAATTCAAAAAACTCTAAATTATGTCTATTTGCCAGAATTTTTTTTTTCCTTTTTGTCTTTTGTCGTGACCGGCAACGGATCGCAACCCTCAGTGTCGCGCCCGTACCGGACCAGGACCGGCAACGGGATCGCAACCCTCGGTGTTGCACCCGCACCTCGCTCAGCCAGTGAGCGGCCGGTCTGTATGTGGGATCCGAACCCTCGGCGGGAGTGCCGCCGCACTCCCAAGCGGCGCACTGTAGCAGTGCGCCACCGGGCCGGCCCTTGCCAGAATATTTTACTTATAATTTTACTACTTAAATTTGTATTTTATAATTGATACTCTTTACACTCAAAATTTTTGTGTGACTCTAGTCAAATTCTGTGTTTGCTGAACATATACTATGTTAAAATAAATAGTCATTATAAGACTTAGCATTAAATTCTGGCTACTCCCTAAGCAGGATTTCAGAAATACCCTCATGGGGCCAGCCCCGTGGCGCACTCTGGAGAGTGCAGCGCTGGGAGTGCAGCAACGCTCCTGCCGCGGGTTTGGATCCTATGTAGGACTGGCCAGTGTGCTCACTGGCTGAGCGTGGTGCGGACGACACCACACCAAGGGTTGCGATCCCCTTACCGGTCACGAAAAAAGACAAAAAAAAAAAAAAAGAAATGCCCTCATGTATGCCTTTCTTTTGTTTTCCTCTAACATGATGTCAAATATTTAAAATTCTA